GAAGGGAATTCCTACTAGACATGTGGAAAGTGGGTTATCAATGCTTCCCATGGATAAGCACATGTTATCCTGTTTTAATGTCTTTGCTAAGGTTACCCAGACATTATGGCTAGGCTGTGGGCTAATGCAGCCTATGGCATACGGTACGGTGAAGAACATCCAGGCAGCAGTGAGGACAGCACCAATGGAGATATTTTTCATCTTTGGACAGGAATAGGGCTTCTGATAGGGAATATAAGCAAAATTTGTTATCATTATGGTGGGAGGGAAGGATTAGGGTTTTCTCCCTTATTCCTTTCCTCTGTTCCTTCCCCTCCCCATCTTTTTTTTTTTTTCTTCTCTATAAGCTAAGGGTGGGGGAGTGGGTATAAAGTTGGGGGTTTTGGGTAAGAGCTGAGAAAGGGGAATAATAGGGTTTTTTAGGGGAAAAAGGGTAATAACATATAATTCAGAGAACAATCATGTTTTCAGGCTGTGTCTGGCTTATGGCTTGATGCCGCAGAATGCTGTTCAGCTTTCTGTTTTGTCTGCTGTCGCGTGATGGGACGGTCTTTTCCTCTGTATGTGGACATCTGGCGACATCTTCATCTCCAGGCAGAACTGGTTTGGTTTTGAGGTCTTGTGTTTGACTCAGGGGAATTCTTGTCACTGCTTGTGGAAGTGGTATTTGCAGTGCCTAGGTATGGTTTTATGTTTTTTCCTGGGTACCATCTTGGACCAGATGGTAGTCGAACACACGCGTACCCTCTTCCCCAGGTAATCAATTGGAAAGGTCCAGAAATTTGATGTGTTTCTGGGTCCTTCACTAGCACAGGTGGTTTCTCAGTGAGCTTTGCTTGGGTGGTATTTGCAAAGTGGTGAAGTATTGGGTGGTCAGGCTCTGATGTTGTACAGTTCAGGAAGTTGATGACGTAGAGAGCCTTGCAAAGTCTTTCAACTGGAGATATGATTTTTGTTTCTCTTCACTGCTGATTGAGGACTCTTTAGTGAGCTTTGCTTGGGAGGTATTTGCAAAGTGGTGAAGTATTGGGTGGTCAGGCTCTGATGTTGTACAGTTCAGGAAGTTGATGACGTAGAGAGCCTTGCAAAGTCTTTCAACTGGAGATATGATTTTTGTTTCTCTTCACTGCTGATTGAGGACTCTTTTGAGGGTTTGATGTGTCCTTTCTACGATGGATTGTCCTGTGGGGTTTGGAGGTATGCCTTTCTTGTGTTGGATTCCCCACTCACTGAAGAACTCTTTTAAGTTACGAGAGGCATAGGCAGGTCCATTATCTGTTTTGATCTCCTTTGGTACTCCCAGGGTAGCGGAGGCAAGGAGGAAATGTTTTATAGTGTGCTGTGCAGTTTCTCCTGGATGAGCTGATGCAAATACTGCTCCAGAAAACGTTTTGACCGACACGTGCACATATTTTGACCTTTAAAAGGTGGGAAGTGGGTCACATGTGTCTGCCACAGCTGGTAGCTGTTCAAACTTCGGGGTTTGACTCCCGTCCCTATAGATGGTATCTGGTAGTTTTGACAGTTCGGGCATGTGGCAACAATAGCTTTTGCTTGATCTTTTGAAAGCTTGAACATTTTGATAAGAGCAGGCACATTTTGATGAAAAAATGCATGTGACAACTTTGCCTGGGCAAAGATTTTAGGAGCATTAGCAGTCTCTATTGCCATGGCTAAGGTGTCCCCTTTCCTGTTCCCTTCTGTGATAATACCTGGGAGGTCAGTGTGTGACCTCACATGCATTAAATGGTGAGGTTACTTTCTTGTGGGAGATTAAACGTGTTAATGTAGAAATCAATTGGTATAATTTTGGATTGGAAACCTCTTTGAGAAGAGCATGTTCTGCTCTCATAGCTATACCAGCAACATAAGCTGGATCTGTGACCAGATTAAAGGGTTCATCTTTGAATTTCTCCAAGGCTCTGACAACAGCTGCTAACTCTGTGATCTGTGGAGATCCCTCCACTATTTGGATGTCATATTCCCATTTTTGGGTCTTAGGGTCTTTCCATGTCATTACAGATGTGTGGGATGACCCTGAGCTATCTGTAAAGATGGTTAGAGCTTTGAGAGGTGTTTTACTTTGGACTAATTTTGGGGTCAGGTGAAAGGTTACATCACAATTAAAAAGCTTATGTTTTGGGATATGTACTGAAATTTGGCCCGTATAGCTATCTAGTGTGGATGGATGGAATGTGGGAGAATAGAGATAGTGATGAAGGTAATCTCACCCCTAAGGGGTTACAGCTGTGTTAATTACCAAGAATTAGGAACAGGCCTGCCTTTAATAGGCCACAGCTAAATCCAATTAGGATGGGTATTGTAAAGGAGTAGGTTAGGTGGTTGAGAAGGGAGTTAGAGTTTGTTGGCTGTGCTGTGAAGAATAAGGAGTCAGTACTGCAAGGAGCTGCCCATGAAAAATCACCTAGAAGGTATGGAACTTTTGCAGTAAGATGACAACAATCTAGGGCAAACTGGAGGTTTTCATTGGTCTGGAGCAAATGCTCCAGGTCCCCAGTGGTCAGTGGCAAGTAGAAGGTGGTAATTGTCTTTGTAGGTTGGTTCTTTGTAAAGATCCATTCCAGTATCAGTAAAGGGTCTCAAAGCTGAGTGTCCCATTGGAAAATCAGTCCATAGAACCAAGGTGCTTTTCCCAGAATGACGAACTGGAAAGGCAGGCTGGGCTCGAAGCGATGGGCTTTACGTGAAGACAGGGCTTCTTGGACCTTGGCGATGACATCTTGGGCTTCTGGTGTGAGAGTGCCTGGAGAGTCCAGGTTCTCGTTGCCACTAAGAAGGTTGAACAGGGGAGCAAGGTCCTCTGTTGTAGTTCCTAGCAGTGGAGGTAGCCAGTTGATGGATCCGCACAGACTGTATAAGTCTCTCAGGGTTTTTGGGTCGTCTCGGATGGCAAGCTGCTGGTGTACGATGGTCCTTTCCCGGATCTGGAATCCAAGGTAAGTCCATGGATTGGTGTACTGTATTTTGTCCTCACGGATCTCGGATCCTGCCTTTTCTATGGTTTCAATAGTCTTTTTAACTGCTTTGTCTAAGTAAGCTTTTTCTGATGCACAGTCTAGGATATCATCCATATAGTGGTGGATGATTGCATCTGGAAATTGGTTCCAAACGGGAGACAGAATGTGAGCAATGTACTACTGGCATATAGTGGGACTGTTCTTTAGTCCTTGGGGAAGAAAACGCCAATGATATCTTTTGAGTGGAGCCTCTCTGATAAGAGAGGGAGTGGAGAAAGCAAACCGTGGAGCAATCCTGGCGGTGCAGTGGAATGCTGAAGAAACAGTCTTTAATATCTATGACAGCAAGTGTCCACTCTCTAGGCAGCATCGATGGTGAGGGTAGGCCAGGCTGGAGGGGGCCCATGTCCTCGATGACCTTGTTGATTTTGCAAAGGTCATGGAGGAACCTCCACCTGTCTGTTCTAGGCTTTTGCAGTACCAAGACTGGAGAGTTCCAAGGGCTTGTGGTCTTGACGATGTGGCCTTTGGCAAGCTGTTCTTCCACAAGGGCTTGTAGTGCGCACAGTTTGACTTTAGAGAGGGGCCACTGTTCGATCCGGATCGGGTCATAACATTTCCAGGTGAGCCAAGGGGTATCTGGTAGTGCGCATTCCTCAGTGGCCCCAATTAGAAATCCCAATAGGGAATACATAGAGAAGCTCCTCATTGGCATAGAACATCCCTACCCCAAAGGATGATGCGGGCCCTTACCACGAATGGGCGGATGGTTGCCAACTTGCCTTCAGGCCCTTCGACGAACATGTTATTCTTGCTTCGCATAGAAACTGTAGCTCCACTGAACCCTGAAATCATGCCTGCTACAGGTTGTAGTTCCCAGTGTGCTGGCCATTCTGAGCGAGCAATGATGGTGACGTCAGCACCTGTGTCCAGCATCCGTGGTCAGTGGATCTTCTCTCCTCTGTAGGTTAGACCACACGCCATGGTAGGCTTACTGGGTCCCACAACTCGTGCCCACATTGCTGTAGGAATGAGAGGAATCTGTTCCCTGTGATTCTTTGGGAGTACAAAGGCTTGTGCGATTGGAGTTCCCCTTGGAGGGAGAAATGGTAAGTCTGTGCAGTACACCTGGACAGAGATTTCTCTTCCCGTGTGCACTGTTTGTATTCTGGAACAACAAAGATTTCCTTTGGGCTATGGAGAGTGTCACCTATAATTCAGATGTCAAAAGGACCACCTTTTGGCCATGTTTGCCTGTGGGAGCATGATAAACATCCTTATTATTAACGTCAATGGACAGAGCAGTTACCAGCTGGCGACGGGTTCCCATCTGTATTGCTCCGTGTGTTGGATCCTCTTCATGTGGTCTGGAATCTCCTGGGATGATGCGTGGCTGGGTCTGGATGGCCTTTGACTTGTTGTCTTTGCACAGGGCCTGACCGCGCTCCGCTGGAAGTTTCCTGAATGCTGTTGGTAGCGCTGCTGATTCTGGGGTCTTTGTTAGGTGTTACGGGGGTTTTGGGTAGGTTACCTGTCTGGACAGTCCTTTATAAAATGTCTGAATTCTCTGCAGTGAAAGCAGTGGGCCTGGTCTTTAGAAGCCATTACTGCATATGCACCAGAAACTCCTTCTGCAATACCCTTAGCAACTGCTTGGCCACTGTATTTTCAGTGGACAAATGACGTGTAGTGTAAAAAACACTGATCCACCCTAGCTGAGAATTGAGAGGGGACGGAGGATGGGCAAGAAGAAGAAGGCTTGAGTAGGTGAAGAAATGTCAACAGATGAGAAGCACCCTAGATGGAGGAGATGATTGGAGTGGCCTTTGGGCTGGACTTTTCTCTTACATGGCCACAGGATGGAACCAATTTCTTCCTGTAATTTAAGAGACTGCACCTTGCGGGAGGCGGTTGGCCAGAAGCCCAGGAGTGACAAAGCTGTTATGAGAAGTAGAGGGAACAGAGACTGATGGGGAGGGTGTGGTGGACCCCTCTGCTTTCAGCGGAGAAGGATCTCTGTTCCTGAGACCCCCCAGGGGAGTAAATATGGGGGGAACAGGTGTCTTTTCAGTGGACAAATGACGTGTACAGCTTTCCAGCATTTGCTCTATGGTATGTTCTGTATCCAAGGGTAGGGCCCTCAGAATTATTTTACATTTTTCGTTCAAATGCCTTTCCCATAACATATATTCTGCTGGGGAAAGAAGGCAGAGGGCAATATTTTTAATATTGTGGAGTACTAAAACATGTGCTGAGAACATAGCTTCTAGGAAATTTCTAAGAATATGTGAACTACCATGTTCTTTGGCTATATTTCTTAATTGTATAAGTTCTTTATTTGTGTTAGGTTCCCACGTCTTTCTAGTAGTGGCTCCACTTTTTTTTTCCCTTTTTATAATTGTGAAAAATGCCAATCACTTGTTTTTAAAATTTTAAAAGTTTTAATAGTAATAAGATGGTTACAAAAATAGCAATATACTAAGAGTAATAAAAATTTTAACAATTGAGGTTAGGACAATACAAGACAATTAGAACAAAGAGTTACGGATGGTCCGGGTACCTTTTCTGGGCAAAATAAGCCCGAAAAAGGACACCTATTAACAAAGGATTAACCCTTAGAAATGATAGCCTGTTGCATATTCATATAATTCATACATGATGCATAAATTCCATTCAAATAAAGGATTCTGTCTGTTCATCATGAACTTCTCCTGTTAATCCTAACAGCGTCTTTTTGACTGAACTAGGCGGGAAGAAGTTTGTTTCTCCTGATAAAAGAGCAATAGATTCTCTTTATCTGAAACATTTAGGTGTCCTGCAGCCGCCATCTGGTGGGAGCACCTCATTCCTTTCTAAAAAGAAAACATTCCACATATCTAATAATAATTTTTCTGTTGATCGATATTCTCTCAAAATTTGGAGATTTCTGGGATGCCAAAGTAAGGATTCTTGCCTGTATCATTCCACTGAAAAAGTCTGATTTTATCATTATACTTACAATTTCCTTTTTTTTGTGTTTCCCTGGGTCAGGGTTGGTTCCTCTGGGATCCACCATATAGAAGTTCCATTACTAACCTTGTATCTTTTACAGGGAGTTTTTCCTACTTCATGAAGGAACTATTTCCCAGTGTGCCAGAGACATTCTTCGCCTATCACCATTTAACTCAAAATCTATCCTTCTGGTTGGTTTTCTCCACTTGTACTTGTTTGGTTCCACTTAAGGAGCTCAATTGGGCCTAAGCTGCTGCCCTTCTATGGCCATTCTTCTGACATCAAAGCCCCTCCACAGACCCAACAATTGGTTATGTTGAGTTCTCTACTTATTCTTTCCCCCAATTCCACAAACTGATTTTTACCCATTCTTGAGATATCTATTTCTTTTTCTAATTGCTGTTCCAGTTTTGTATACAAATCGTCAATTGAGATTGGCACTGGTTTAGGTGGTTGTACTGGCTTAGCCTTTGTTTTTATCAATTGCTCTTTTACTAAATCTTGTGCTTTGTTCCCAATAACGTAGGTGAAACAAATCCATCTCTCCTCTTTTGGGCATTGGCTTCCCATCCTGTTACCACTTGTTCCTAAGTTCTCTGCAATCCAATACTTTTTCCCATTGTGTATGCAATTGCCTAATTTGCATGGGTTGTAACAGTGACTGTTGACATGAGTGTGAGAAATAAAAAAGGAACCTCGGTGTCTTTCCATATATAGCTTGCAGTAACATCTATGGCATGGTCTTGTTGATATCCCAAAAGGGAAAAGACAACAAATGAGTGACAGAACCAGGAATAACAGAGGTCCAGTATGGCTTATACTCCCTCCCATGCCTATGGGGTTGCAACCCACAGCAGGTGTATTTGATCTTCTTGGTGGCGAATACAGAGGCCAATCTGGTCTTGCCCTCTATTTCCTTGTCACTTTCTCTTAGCTAATTTTCAGGCAAATTGTTTTTGGCACTCCTTAACTGTGGTTCCCCACCGTTCCTCAGGTATCTCTCATTCAAAAGGCAATAATAATTCCCATCCACAAAACAAAGTTATTATTTCAGTTGCTTCGAGTTCCACCTGGATAGGAGATAGATTTTGCACTTGACACGTCCTGCAATGAGAGCGTCGATTATGTGAACTACAATACCAATTCTTCCCACAATGTAAACATTTACATTTAACCCAGCTAGCATGTCTGGTATTTGGGTGAATCAGACAGGGTATTTGTTTTGGCACGGTTGGAACTTGCAACTCCTCCTTCTCTCTGTATAAGTCACAGGCTAAGGCCTGAATACCAGAGTTCTCTGACCGAAACAGTCCTGATCCTCCTGTTTGGAGTGGAAGTATTCCTCCCCAAGGAGGATACCGGAGGTGTCTCAAAGCTTGTCCAGATCGTACTTGAAACCACTGATATAAGCTCCGTCTTATACCCCCGTTAGGTGTCCTGTGTATGTTCCTTGGATCATTTGGGTCTTCCCAGTTCATTACCACCCATTCCCCGTTTAGGAGTCAGTTTTGTATCACCCAGTTCAGATGATATTGTCCACTCCTTAGGTTCTTCCACTGGTCCTTTGATTCTGCTGGCGTGGATCCACCCTTGTTCCCTGGTCCGGATCGCAGCCTCAGTCGTCAGCAAGACCTGAAAAGGACCTTCCCATTGTGGAGTTAAAGACTATTCTTTCCATGTTTTTATTGGCACCCATTCCCCTGGATGAATATTATGGATTTTAAAATCTAAAGGTGTGGTTTGAGGGATTATTCCTTTTAACCGTAAATTTTCAAGAGTTTTTGCAATGGTGTTAACATATCCTTTAACACTCATTTCCCCTACCTCATAGGTAGCATTTTCATATTGAGTGGTTAGAAAAGGTAACCCAAACATCATAAGGTGACACTCCCAGGTCCGACCTGGGTTGAGTTCGGATTCTCAATAAGGCTAAAGGTAGGCATTATACCCATGACATTCAGGTTTCAACTATTAATTTAGTCAAAATTCTCTTTAAAGTCTGGTTCATCCTCTCTACTCGGCCTGAACTCTGTGGATGCCATGGGGTGTGTAACTCCCATTTTATCCCCATATTTGTTGTAACACTTTTGACGTAAAATGCATTCCTCTGTTCGAGTCTATCCTATTAACCATTCCATATCTGGGAATAATCTGTTCCAAAAGGGTTTTACTTACCACGTTGGCTGTGGCCTTCACAGTGGGAACTGCCTCCACCCAATGAGTTAAATGGTCTGTCATTACTAATAAGTACTTCCATCTTTGTACTTGAGGAAGTTCAGTAAAATCTACTTGGATACTTTGAAATGGTCGAAGAGCTAACTCACAACCTCCTAATGTTTTTCTCATTACCTTTTTATTTATCTTTTGGCATATTATATATCTTTCAGTTACTTGTTTTGCTACTCCAAAAATCCCAATTCACCCATAATTCCTTAAAAAATGATCACACAAAGCCTGGGTACCCCAATGGGTTTTCTGATGCATATCTTCTAATATTTTCCTAGTAATCGTTTTATTAAGTAATTGTCTTCCATCAGGAAGTTTCCATTTCCCTGATTCATCTTGTTCACTTCCTATCTTGTTTAATTTTTTTTTTCTCTGCTTCACTAAACTTTGGAATTTCCAATTTTTCCTCATTTGGAGTTAATATTATCATAACTTTTTCAGCCCCATTTTCTGCTGCATCCTTAGCTTCCTGATCTGCTAAATTATTTCCTCTTATTTCTGGGGTCACTCCTTTTTGGTGTCCCTTGATGTGTACTATAGCTATCTCTTCAAGTAAGTTTAGTGCCTCTAAAACTTCTAAAATGAGCCCCTCATGTACCAATCCTTTTCCTCTTGAATTAAGTAGTCCTCTTTCCTCCCAAATTTTTCCAAAGGTATGTACCGCTCCAAAGGCATACCTTGAATCAGTATATATTGTTCCTTTTTTGTCTGCTAAATATTCCAGTGCTCTTTTTAGAGCATATAATTTACAAGTTTGAGCTGATCAATTTGAAGGTAATTTTCCTTTTTCCATAGTTTGCATGTTTTTTCCATCAACTACTGCATACCCTGACATTCTTTTTCCTTGTAGACATCTGGAGGAACTATCCACATAGATTATTTCCCCTTCTAAAAAGGCTTGTTCCTCAAGATCTTCTCGAACCTTTGTTTGATATTCGATAATTTCTAGACAATTATGTATTATGTTATCTGCTGGTTCTCCATATAAGAATTGAGCTGGATTCAAACTTTTGTTTACTTCTAGTGTCAGGTCTTCACTGTCTATTAAGATTGCTTCATATTTTAAAATTCTAGAGTCTGTCAACCATTTTTCAGCCTTCTGATTTAACACATTTTGAACTGCATGAGGTGTGCACACAGTTTACCTCCAAAAGTAAGTTTATGACTTTCTTCTACCCGGATTGCAGTAGCTGCTATAGCTTGAATGCATACTGGCCAGCTGTGGCTCACTGGGTCCAACATCTTTGATAAATAAGCTGTTGGTCTCTTTATTCCTCCCCACTCCTGAACCAGAACTCCATGAGCTACCCCCCTTTTCTACATTCACGTACAGATGAAAGGGTTTTTCTAGTGAGGGTAAGCTTAAAGCTGGTATTGAGGCCGGTTTTAACTTCAGTTCTCCTAATTTATCATCATCTTCCTTGGTCCATTTTATATCATCTCCCTCTGTCAATTTTTC